CATTTTTTCTCTTATATCAAGAATCAAAAAAATACTATAAAATCAATAAAATACCACGCAATGCTCTATCTGAAACATCTAAAATGTTATTTGACCCCAGCTGTAGCTGTCATGGAAAATTTTGGCTTGGTACTCATTATGATTTTACTTGTCATGCTTTGTTCTAACCTTGATGCCAGTGACAGGTATGCAGGTTATGATTTCAAAATGTCTTAAACTTTTAAAATTTTCCTGGCTGATGACAATAGATCACCTGACAATGTCATATAAAATAATTTTCCATGCCTTTTCACATTACATCACATGAACTGGTGATATGTCATCCCATGAACTTCTGGGGGATATGGAATATCCTCACTGGCTATGACCTTCTATGGTACAAGGAGTGACATAACTGGCTATAAAACATGTATAAGAGTAAGTGCAGGTTATGGTAGTCATTTGCCTGCCTGACCTCTGATTTTGATTATCTCTTCCCCTGACATATGCTTCCCCAGTTCTGCATAGGAGGCAGTGCATATCCCACAGCCTTCAACCTCCAAGAGTGTTCCTTGTTTAAGGAATGCGCCTGATCTTCTCTATCTACTCCACCATTCTTCCAATGAGCAACAAGACAGATGAAGACTATACGTCGCTGACAAAGACCACAGGACTGAGGATCATTCCAGTAGGTTTTCTCTAATTAATTCGATTTGTAAAAAGCACTATTTATTTCCTTTTGCATACTAACTTGTATAACTCTATAGTTTTACTACTTTCACAGATAAAAGTCAAAAGACAAAAGCCTGTAGGATTTCAAGGGGCACTATCATACAACACAGTATCTGCCAAGTAAAAGATCACAGCAAGGCTCTGTTCAAGTGGCAGATCAAATGCCAGCTACACCACCACCTTCCATATTAACATGGGACCGTGGGGAGTTTCCCACAAGTATGAAATCTGTTGTAAACCTGATAGAGAAGGGGAAGAACTACATACAGATAAATATTTGTTTCTAGCCATATTTCACAAACTACAAACAAATGCTGTTGGTACTGTAAGTGCATGTCATCAGACCTGGTGGCAAAAGGGCAAGGTATCATAGCATACCAAAGCACCCTGACAGGAAAGGTTCCCCTGCAGTGGATGGATAAAAGGCCCATGACAATGCAGTCCACAGTCCACACAAGAGTGACTGTAAAGCTTCCTCCCAATCAGCATGGGCTCGAGAGAAGCAAGGCTAAAGTTGTGGTGGACTACAAGGTAGGCATAAAACGAGCATGAAAGTCTTAGCTAGCCACACAAAAAATTATCAAATGGTACAAGATATTAAACTTGCTGAATTTGGCAGGTGTCAACTCCCTGGTCATCGGCAGATTCCTTGGTGGCAAGATGACACAAGTCAAATTAGAGAGAGAGAGAAAAAAAAAAAAAATGGGCAAGGAGAGTGCCGAGGAAGAATAAGGAATCCTCCATCCCCTACTCTTGCTGCCCCCGATACTCCTGCCAATGACCACAGATGCCACAAGATGCACCATCCTGTAGGTGGAGGTGTGCCTACTGCTTAAAATAGAAGGGGAGGAGGAAAGACACCAAAGTAATGTGCAAGATCTGTGGGGTCTCTCTGTGTACTGCTCCTTACTTCACAGGGTACCACACTGCTCAAAGTGCTCCCAATAGTTGTAACCATTTCCCACAAATCACATGGCCAAATAGACTGGCACTTCTTGAGTCAAGCAGACCAGGAGAAGGCTATATACAGCAAATGATCCAGCGGGAAGGAAAGACACCTGTCAGTATACCCTGGAAGGAGTGCTGGATGGTTTTAAGACAGTGAATTCTCACCCCATCAACATAAGGTCAAATTCATCAACAAAGTATTGCAGCAGTTTGGAACTATCCATGTTAATTAACAGATCCATACATTTGATTTTCTTAACCCTTTAGATCTGGGAGCCATAAACATGCCAAGAAAAAATTTGGCCTGAGGGCGGGTGACATCATGGATGAAAATGGATGCAGGTTGGATGACATGAATTTGCCGTCATGAGCAAAGGCCAGAGTGATGGAAAAGGCTCTCCATGAGTGCACAAACCTCTTGAAGGGTGTTTAGACATGTGGTATTTAGAGAGGGGATTTTGAATTATTCCCATCGATAAACGAGTGTGGACTGTAAGGCCTGTAAGCCATGACTGGAAGAGCATCAGCTCCAGGGAGGATGCCATTTCCATGCTCAGCATCCTATTCCTGGCCACCATGATTGGTGGTGCAGGTTGTACAGAAAATTGAATATCATGAAAAAATACATATATGAAACAAATAATAAAATGTTACATTTTTTCTTGCACCGAGTTTTGTACTACATAGAGAAATGATATGAAGTCTGTGCAAGGAAAACAGTCTATTACAATCTGGATAAAGCAAATCAAAAGATAAATATGGGCATTGCTGAATGACAAAAAAGCCAATAACATTTTGCAAAGGGGACACATAGATTCTTATTACTGTACTTGAGTGTTCATGTGTGCCTGGTGCACACCCAGCAAGTGGCCCCTCACATAAGCCTAATGCCAATGCTTTGGTCCATGTGATTACCATGAAGCAACCAGATTAAAGGGGTTAAACATCAGCTTACATGTAAGGCTGCAACCAAAAAAGTTACACATAAGAAGTAAAGGTTTGTATCAGAGAAAATGCCCTTCACTTCATCCAAGTCCTTATCTGTGAATCCTAAATGTGCCATAGGATGCAGTGCAGCTTCAAACTGCATCCATAATCTGAAATATTAGATACCATTTTATATAACAAGCTGGGATATAAAAACTTAAAAATAAAAATGTTTTTTCTTTTGTAATGTTTTTTTTAATAGTATACCAATATTTTGAGCTATCAGATGCACATAACAAACTATCTTTTAATATAATATTTTTTTTATAAATACTACTTTCTCATTTAGCATTCTTCTTTCAAAAATGAAGGGTGGTCCTACCTTATTTTTCCATAGGATATTGGGCTGTATTTTAGCGTCAAGTTTGTCTCTTTCATTGAAAAATCTACTTCCACCAAATCTCTTAAACGTGCACTAAGACTATCCACATACAGGATTGGGAGGTACTGTCCATTAGAATCCAACCTGCAGATGAAAGTTTGATGATAATAGGTTTCTAATAATGCACCATAACAGACAACTCATCAAAGTCTATTTCTGGAAAAAAAAAAGTAAAAGTGAGAAGGAGCTGCAGTGCACACAAAGCAACTTGAACAACTTTTTAAATAAAAGACATGACAGGCTGAAATCTACAAATATTTTTAGAGCCACATACCCACATCATAATATCACAGGACATCATAATCAGGGAAAAAACAGGCATGAAATACGAAACATGAGGGAAGATTTTCAATTTCTTATAACCTTACCTGAGAGAGCGACCTATATCATATGGCACAGCATTACGAGGAAGACTGACAGGATCAGTGAGAATATTAAACACTACCAACGACTGGAAGTGGGTAACTGGTCTTTTTCTCCCTGACTGGGGCTTTTGCTTCTGAAATACATAATCATTATCTTAGTTCTTAAAAAAAAAAAAAAAAAAAAATATCAATCAATGTTACAATCAGTTGATCATACTGTACATGAAGTTTTCATGTTTTAGAAAATGCAATATAACAGCAATCCTACATGAGCAATTTCAATGTTTTTACACCCAATCAAACAAGCCAATTGTTTAAGTAATTTCAGTGAGTAATTATCTAATCATAAAGTAGAGGCAATATGTTTAAAGGCACCCACTTCCACAAACCGAGGAAGATAATGGCTTTCTGATTCCCAAGGACTGGGCACCATTACAATAGCAAACTTCCAAGGCAATCTAATGCATATCTTTAAAAATAGGACAAAGTATAACGTACAAGCAATCAAAAATATTTTTTTACTGTCAAACATGGAAAAGTAATTTTTGCTTTCTCAAATCTAATTTTTATATTCACTCACATTCAATAATCACATATCTTAATCATGTTTTAGAAATAAAGTTGACTGTTATTTTTCTCTTTAATTCATCAACTGGCTTGAACCCAGGATTTAATAACACTCACAAAAACAGGCTCTATAATTTCTCATACAACTGACTGTACTTCTAATATCCCTCGCACAAAAAGACTTCTATTGATTTTGGAGCCAAAGACAAAACTCATATATGTATGATAGGTTGCATCATAGTCCTCCCCTTATTTTAGTAAATAAAAAACACACATATAAAGAAAACACAAATGCACAATTCTTCTTTATGCTCTTGATGTACTACATAATTTTGGTACACTTAAAAGTCACTGTGGACCATCAATTGTCAGCTGATGATTTCCAAGTTTTACTACAGGCTGCAGAGAGGTAAACTTTTGTTGTCTAAAGATGAGTGCAAACATTTTATTCTTGAACTGTAGTTGCTGAATGAATTGTTGCTCCATCATGTACATCATTTATTATTTCTTCTACAGCAGATACATCTGTGTGGAGCAGGGATTGGTAATAGCTGTGGAGCCGTCACTGATACTAGCACGGAGACAACACATCAATGCCAAAGTTGAGGCAGGAGCTGAAGCTTACACTGAAGTTGGTGCTGATATTGGTTTGAAACAGGCAATGAAGCAAATAGTAGGGTAGGAGGGACCATCTGCTTTGGTGCAACATGTTTTGCTACATTAGTTCTCCCAAATTGGGAGAATTCTGTTTTATCATTAAGGTGACCATCTGTTTTTTTTTTTTTTTTTTCCTTTCCTATTTTGATGAAATCTTACACCCTCTTGTTTATACTTGGCACAATCCTTTTTTCAAAATTGCCTGGCGCTTTTGAGTTATAGTCAAAAAAGACAAAAAAATATCAATCTACAAATTTGAAAAATGACAATCTTTTAAAAAGCATATAAAATCACACAGGCATTCTGAAGTGATCTTTGTACATATATGTTCTTAATATAATGTGTGATTGAAGCACTATTTTCAATCTTGACTTTTTTTGTGAATATCTACAATAGCTGAATTTAGCTTTTATAAGAAGCACAAGGAAAATTTGGAAAAACAATTTGGAACAAGCACTAGATTTATTATTCAGCTACAAAATGAACCATAAAACATTTATTTCTGACTAAAATTGAGTATGCTACAGCTTTTGAAGCCTACAAAGGTAGAGTTCTGAAATATTGCCAAATGAATTTTTCATATATTTTCATGATTATTTTGATATTAACAAAACAAGGTTTAAGAATAAACTTATTACATTATCCTCTATCATTTCCCTGCATTTCAAAGTCTTGTGAAAATTCCCAGCACGTAACAATACCTCATCAAGCGAATTACAGTCACACTGATTTGGGGTGTTTCTCATTGACCATATTCATATTGACCAAAAATTCTCTAAAAAATCCCCCCTCCCCCCCCAAATAATAATAGTAACAAAGGCTTTCTGATTTAATTTTCAAACAGAAAAACCTTTTACTTAATGCATATTCAAAGCACTTTTTCAATTATGATCTAGTTTTTGATTTGTCAATATATTACGTAGATGACTTTTAGAACACTATAAAAAGTTTTTTTTTTATACATGTCACTTTTACATGAAGCACAGGAAAAAAATGCAAAAGCTATGTGGAACAGGCAGCAGATCTATGATTCAGCTACAAATTTAGCCATAATACATTTGTATAAATGTAATGTATGGAAATATATATATTTTTTTAATCCATCATATTTTTTACAGTTTGGATAACAAATGCTCTATGAAATAGTTCTGTATGATATATCAACTATTATTTCCCTTTATTGTTGTTCTAATGGGATTTTACAATATATAATACTGGTCTGAAATATGACTGTTCTCCATGCCAGCGAATATCACACTTGCAGACCAGGACATGAGAGAAGGGGTGGAGCGCCCATGTTTTTGAGGTTTGTGCGACTCTAAGGGACGAAATATCCACCTTTCACACCAACATTCCAGTCACGTTCTAAGCCTAGTGACACCAGCGCAGGACGTCATCAGGATTCCTCCTGTGTTTTGGACGATTTTACGGGTGTAAACCCCTCGACCTGGGTCGTCCCTATACCCAGAGTGTGACTGGTGTGTGTGGGTGTACCATCACCAAATTGTGTCGGACATAAAAGCCAAGGCATGTGGAAAATCAGTGTTATATGAAAATTACGAATGCTGAGTCCAGTGCCTAAGTAACAAGGTGCTCTAAGAGGGACCGTTGGCGAGGCGTGTGGAGTGTATGTGTGACAGCACTTGACCTGCGCTCGAACCCTCCCCTCGCCCTACCGCGAGAGTAAATCACCTCAGTGGCGGACTGTCACCCGCCTGCAGCCCCTACCATGTAGGGGGAAGGTGACGACATTGGGGCCACCGCAGTGCCATCCACCCCCACAACCCCCCACCCTGTGGAAGAGATTGATTCTTCTGACATGAACGAGAAATCACCTGCAAACCCTGATGTTGACAACGAGGGCTATCAAGTCGTCATTACGAAAAGAAATAAATAGCAACTGATGAACGCAATTGATGAACGATCCAGGAACAATCACCGTGAACCCATCGCCCCAAGACAGGAGTACATCCGCCTGGCCTTCCCCGAGGAAACATCCATGGTCGATAAAATAAGGTGGATGAAGGACGTCAGCCGACTCCCTTCCCTCCAAGAGCATGGACCACTAGACATGGTGCAGGGGAAATGGCGATCCTTGTGCTATGTCTACGTCTGATGGGACCAACGACACTACGTAACCCAGATGATCAATGGTGCTGTCGCAGGGATTTCACTTTAAGAGAAAGACAAGTATTAGCCCAGACCCAAGAGATACGGGGAATACCTGGTTACCAGGTTTCCAAAGGCGGCCCCTACAGATGACCCAATGCACCTTCTGGGTGTTTTTAAAGCCCGGAGAATCTATAAAGAATGGCAGCCATTAAATAGAATCATAATTGTGTGGAGCAGAGAACGCCCGCCACCCACTGAACATCACTTCTTTGGCAAGTACATAGAGCCGAGCTCTATACGCCCATGGAGCTCAGAGGTGGTGGCCTGCTACAAGTGCCAGGATTACGGCCACATAGCCAAACACTGCAGGAAGGAATCAGCTTGTGCTGTCTGTGCAGAAGCTCACCAGTCAAAGGACTGCCCTGTAAGAAACAGAGGAAAGGACAACGACACTGAAGACACCGTCACCATCGTGAAGAGGTGCATCAGATGAAGGGAGTAACTACCCGCACAGGCCGGCACGCCTACAACTCCCCCCTGCCCCGACCGTACCCATCGACTGCAGAGTGGAAATGCCCAGCCCAGCTACACCCCGCTCGGTGCCATGTGACGTCACTAACCCACAGGAATTCCCAGAGCTGCTTGGTGGGGTTTCCATCCCAGAAAACAGTGCCTCAGAACTCACGAAGGGTGAAAAAATCAAGGAAATGGCCGAGGAAATAAGCAGCCTCAGGAAAGAAATTGCTGAACTTATAAATATGTTAAAGGAAAGAGAAAGTGATAGTGTACATAGGAAAAATATACCTCCTAATGATGTCAGTGATATCGAAAATGTGAATGAGGTCTCTCATGCTAATCATCACCATCATCTCATGCTAATACTAATATTACACATGATAATGATAATATTACACATGAAAATGATAATATTACAAATTAATGATAATGATAATATTACACATGATAATGATAATATTACACATGATAATGATAATATTACACATGATAATGATAATATTACACATGATAATGATAATATTACACATGATACTATCGACAAATCATCTGAAAGCGGTGATGACAGTGAAAATAACGTCGGCGAAGATATGCAGGAAACAGACGACTTTTGGGAAAACCCTCTGAGAATGGTGGCAGGTACGAATTATGCGTATAATATTAATCTAAGGAGATTGCGCAGAACCTTTGCAAATAGACAAGAAGCAACAGATATATGCAATGCTATTAAAGATATATGTAAACTAAAGGGCTTTATTAAACAAAGATTTGACCACTCAGCTAATAATGTGTGATGGGGGACAAGAAAATAATTACCTTTCTTTCATGGAATATACGTGGTGTCAACTGTAGATTTAATGACTTCCTTTATGTTTATAACAATAATGTTGACATTATCTGTTTACGAGAGCCCTTCACATCAACCACTAAATTAAAAACCGCCCCTAGCATTAGAGGATATCATTCCTATACAAACACAGAAATGACAGGTCTATTGACTTATGTTAGTGACGCCATACCGCATAAACTGGTGAAGACGTCCGATGACAACAATGTGCAATATCATCATCTACATATTCGAACAGCCTCTGGGTTTTTCTCCCTGTACAATGTATACACAAGGTGTAAAAAGTTTCAAACCGATTCACTGCCCAACTTTCAGAATCATGGCACAATATGCATGGGAGATTTTAATGCTAGACATTTTTCATTTGGTGATAATCAATGTAATGAAAGTGGCAAAGAATTCAGACATTTTGTGAACAACAGATCTATGACCGTA